TGTCACGCCCCTGGACTGTTTGTTGTGCTCTGTGACCCAGTTTCTTCCCCATGTGTTCCGCTTCCCAGTTAATTAGTCATTCAGTACACCTGTGTTTGTTAATTATCCCTTGCATTTAAGTTCGAGTCTGTGCTGTCTGTCCTTGTCCGAGATTGAACGTCAACCCCTGTGTTTCCTGTGTTCCCTGCTGCCAAGTGTTACTTCCTGGATATTCTGAATTAAAAGACTATTGTTGTTCGTGTACTCCTGTTCTCCTAGTTCCTCGCTCCGCGCCATAGGCTATGTGTGACAGAGTTAGGACTAGTTTAGGACTACTAGACACTGATCTCCCTGTTTTAACTATTTGTCATTATGGACTTTTTTTATCTTAACTTCTCTTTAAGGTATCATTTGTCAGCATCTGCAGAAACTTCTGGGACTGTGGGCTTGTGTCTCTCGATGACATCTCAGTGACCCTTGGAGACTGTCGGGTTACTACAGGTACTTCTTTTGATATTGAGAAAAAGCCCTGTTCAGATGGTAATTGTGTTTCATGGTGATTTAAGTTAATCCCAGCTTTTACAGGGTGATTTTATCGCCATTTTTGCTCCCACCGCCCACAAGACAATTACTGGTTGAATCACCTACTGTTTTTAACAAACACCAGGGTCATGTGGTACCGTCCAAATTCACATTTCTAAATTTAAAAGCATGAATTATTCCTAAAGGCATTTTGGAGATCCTTTTTGACTACTGCCAAGTGCCATATGGTCGCACTGTGTGGTATTGTGTGTATTTTTAGTACAGCAGAGGCTTGTATCACAGAAATCTTTGAAATTATTCACATTAAGCTTCATGGCTGCTTCACCACTGTGAGATAGTAAACGGTCAAATTACATAAACCTGGATGGGTGTTTGTTCTTCCTTTTAATAATAAAAGCGACTCACAGGGGTTCGTCTAAAACTGTCCCCATATTTAGAATTGTCCAAACCATAACATTGTTGTTTGACCCAGTTGCTTTTATGGAAGTAAACCCCATGACTTGTAAAAGATTTAAGCAGATGATTGTTCTAATAAAGGGTAAACTGTATTATTTGCTTGGCAGAAGGACGTTTTAAACAATGTGGCTTAGGAAATGGGCAAGGCCCTTGTCTAAGGTTCTTAAATATTCTGTTTATAGACATATATTACATGCCAATGGAGAACATCTGCCCTCACAAACATAGGCATTAAATGGGCAGTGCCGGTTGCGGTGGACAGAAATAGACAATCTTTTAACCATTTCACTCAGATGTAAAAAAGCCTAATATGGTGGAAGTTTACTATTCCAAAGCAGGTCACCCTTTTTGTGCTCTGTTTAGGACCTTTGAATCCACCTCCTGGACATTGTAGCTTTGAAACTGGGGACTGCGGCTATACCCAGAAAAAGAAAGCTAAGAAAGGACATTGGTTACGGATCAGGGGACAGACCCCCACATCTTACACAGGACCCAAGGGGGACCACACCTTAGGGGTAGGTGAGTCAAATTTATGCTTCAGCATGAAATGCTTTATTAACATTGCTGATGTCATGAGACTAAGTCATTCCTGCTCTGACTTCAAGGCTACTACATGTACATTGAGGCGTCTCACATGTTACCCAAGCAGTCGACCGGGCTCATGTCCACTGAGCTGAGGGGTTCAACCGGACCTCATTGTCTGATCTTCTTCTACCACATGTATGGCTCAGGCACAGGAACTCTGAACGTCCTGCTGCATAAGGTGGACAGGGAGAGATTGCTTTGGACAAGACAAGGTGAACAAAGTGTGTCCTGGATGAAGGCCACAGTGGATTATGAGTGTTACACAAGGCACTGGGTTAGAGACACACTCTTACTCTCTTTGTTGTTGAAAGATGTCTTTGAAAAACATATTTTATAATGTCAATATCAAAGTAACCATTTGATCGCTCGGGTAATGGTACTTGAGGTGCCAGGAAACTGATGGAGTGTCACTTTGAACATTACTGTGTTGCTTTTTTTGCATGTAAAAATTCACTGAAAGGTTTAATGTCTCCCTAATTGTTTGCAGATTATATTTGAAGCTGTCAGAGGATCCTCAATAAGGAGTGACATTGCAATTGATGATGTTGTGTTTAAAAAGGGACCGTGCAAAGGTGAGTGAACAGTTTAGTACCAAAATGACAATGCAGCGTTTTTAAAATATATTTTTCTAAATAAAAGTTTTTAATGACTGCAGTGGCATAAAAAAAAGTCAAAATATCTGATCTTTGAAGAGACTCATTGACTTTGACATTCATGAGGGTCTGCAGGGATCGTCCTTCCATGTTGGTTGGACCACATGACCAAATGTGTAATAAAACTACTATATACACACACACACACACACACACACATAGTAGTACTTTTTACTACTGTATTGTTTTAAATTATAATGTATAATATATTATATGTTTATACAATGTACATTACTAATTATTTAGTCATATTTAGTAATTTAGTAATTAATTATTAATTAACATTTAGTAATAATCATACTTTTAATAATAAGATAAGATTATGATTATGCCAAACTTATAAATAAATTATAATAATTTCTTAAAAATATGCAAAAAAGAGACATACTCATCATAAAAGAGGTCTGTTTAAGTCATTGCATATGCGAACTGCATTTTAAGTTAACTTTTTTATATTTATATTTTGTCAATTTCTTTCTATTAAGCATTTTATATTTTTGAATAAAATAATAGATGTCATGCTCTAAAACGTATACAATTAAATATTAATTTCAATTAATATGAATGGTTACACAAATGTCTTCTTGTGTGCTGTAGTATGTGAAGTCAAACGCATAACCTGAAAGTTGAACAGTAAGTGTCAGTTGTTCATGCGTCGACAGGGGCGTGTCCAGGATTTTATACTCGGGGTGGCAAAGGGGGGCAAGAGCAGAAAGAGGGGTGGCAACTAGACTTGCCAAGTAACACCAGTTATAGCTGTTACGAGGAACGATTGGTATAAAATTTTATACCAATCTAAAGGGGAAAACAATGAAACTTGACAACAATAGTTCCTATAATAATGTCCTAACAAACAGAATAGCCTTAAATAAAGTATAGTTGTCAATTAAGTCTGTGCAATGTCTCTCTACTAATAATGAAGCTGTGGGTTTTAATTACTTCAAAAACAAAGAAATATATGCTATAACGTTTCCGTTTCTAAGCTGTTTTATTGATCACTGGACAGCGTTGACAATAAGTTTTGTTTCTGTGTGCGCGTGATCCTGGATATGCAAGCTACTGTCTGTATACGTGTGTGTGTGCGGGTGTGCTGCAATCAGGCAGCACCAGTTTAGAACGGCTATTAGAAAAGCCTGTTGTCTTTGCTGTACAATAAAATGTGCAATCACCTAATCAATATTCCTTAAGAACTATGCAGGACTTCCCACACTTGTCCATCGACGTCTTCATAACTTTCACCTTCTTTCTGATTTGAGTTATCCATTAGTGTCAAGCTAGCTAATGCTTATTTTATCGTGTGAATTCTTGCTAAAAAGCAGTTGTATTATGGGCTGCTGGCATTAATTGTGCTCATGGTGGAGTGGCAGTGGAGCGCTATCTGAGCGAGCGAAAACCTGAAGCTCTGACTTTCCAAAAAATTCTTGTTCAGTCAAAATCACGCTGCTCTGCTCCACTCACATACTCTGCTTTGGGGTGGCTTCTTTTATTTGATGTATTGCAGTAGGTTGTGTGAGGTGAGATCAGGTGACTGCACTGCAGTAACAGCAGGTGGGGGGAGCATGTGCTTTCTTTGCTGCAGGTCTCATTGGGGTTTGTCTATGAAGGGCTCACATAGGCCTACTGTTACTGCAGCTATCTGAATCTGTTAACAGCAGCAGTAATATGGCAGCCTGTAAAACACAGAGGATGTATTTGTACATATTGTTTATAAAATACATATAAATCTCCCTCTATTCATTTCTCTCTTTCTCTAGATCCTGGAGACAGCATCCCATACTCAGGATTTTCTGAAAATGTTAATGAAATTGAGTACTGAGTGAGGCCCAGGAATGCTGATATGTGTTTGTTTTTATTTGTGTGTCACTGGGGAAGGGGAGACTGCGAGAAAGAAAAGAACATTTGATACCTAGACTCAACAGTGTTCTGCAGATTCTGGTCATGCATGACTACATGGAAAGGCACACGCTTCGTTGTTCTTTCTTATAAGGTGGTATGCTGTGTCTAGATCTCGATATAGCCTGATATTTTTGGATCATTGGGACAGCGACTGTCTTATTTTTGTGTATTTTGTTTAGAGAATATCAGAAAATACTTTTAATTTTTGTAATGTGTTGACATTGCTCAGCAGCATGCTGCTAGGTAGCAACAATTTTCAATTTCTATTTGCAGAGGTGAACGTTTCCTTGTTTGTTTTTACACTGATCAGTGTCCAGGGTAAAAACAGGTTTGGACTAATGCCAGAGTTCAGGTCATGGGTTGTATACATTCTCACTAACAGTGTTTCATTTATTAAACAACTTTTTAAAAGGAAAACGTCTTTGTCAGTTCTTGTAGATTCCCATTAGAATCACAATACTGTAAACTTGCACTTAAATATTAATTTCTTGCAATCTCTCATAAAGGCTTCTGGAAATACGATACTGTTTTACAATGAGAAATCAATATAAAATGAAAGTTATTTTTTTCTTATAATTTACTCCCATCTAGTGGAATACTTGTGTTATGGAACATACAAAACCTGGTTGAAACGTTTTTCGAAATTATGGTAAAATACCATTCTAAACGCTAACTAATAAAACTAAATATTCTTTATTTTCCTGACCTACATACAGACAACCCCCCCCACCCTGTTTGCTTTCCTTACATTTTTATGTTCTCATCAAATAAAAGATTTACACCACCTCTTACAATACTACATTACCCATGATGCACACAAACCGGTCGAACTTGCTTCTGATGTGTTCATGAACGTTCCAAGCAACAGCGTTTTGACCGACGTGCAGTCGTAATGTCGATATCAGAGTAAGTTTATTTCTTATTGAAAAGTTTAGCTGGCGAGCTGTACACAAATAGGAATTGAGTGAAAGGAAAATATTCACATAGATTTGTATTGTAGTGTTTCCTTCTGAATGATCTCAACAAGACACAAAATGGAAGTAACTGGTGAAAATGTATTACTTATTGCTATAGATATGTGAGGGGTCATACCATAAAACAGAACTTAATCGTCTTTGTGCTTTCTCAAGTGAACACCTTAAAAACTGTGGAATGAACTTGATGTATTATCATCTGCGTGACTTAATCGCTAGTTATCAAGCAGCAGTGTTGTGTCAGGTGATGTGTCAGAAAGCACTTGCTAAGTGATATTCCTTTTCTGTGCTAAGGGGGATTAGGATGAATCTGCTAAATTGCTAAAACTAATATTTTCCACAATCACACAACCCTAAAATTGTAATCACATGTGTCTAAATTATAGCAGTTGCTTTTATTCTGTTGTAAATGTCCATCTAATCAATAGTGTGCCTGTTACAGGACATCACAACACTGTATTGGAAATTCTGTGTTCAATACATGCCTAGAGGACTGTTCAGCTGCTGTAGTGTAACAGCAATAGCTTGAATCAGCTTTTGTGTCTCACAGATATAAACTGAATTGTAGTTTTTGTGAGAAAATTCTCATTTACTCACCCTCACGCACTTCCAAACTAGTCATACAGGTTTGGAATGACTTAAGTAGTAAATGATGATAGAATCTTCATTTTTAGGTTAACTATCCATTTAAAAATGAATATTGGGTGTTGTTTTATCTCGGGAGTCATATTATATCACTTTCAAACATGTTTTTTTGTGTGCTTATTTTTACATATTATTCCTTTTAAATTGTCTCAATATGTCTAGGCATGGCAGAAGTCATCCTGGCCAGCTGCTACTTCAACCATGTGCAGCCCATGTGCAGTACACCTAAAACAGTCTACTTTCTGCTCATGAGTTAGAAAGATTTTACAGAAGGCTGTGTGCATAAGAGTGTTGTGAAGATGTACCAGATCGTATCATCAACTGTTGGAGATTTTGGCATTGGTGCCATGAGCAATTACTCACCACCTAAGCAGAAGAGAGTTGGTAGACCAAGGCGCCCAGTGATAAAAGCGAGTGTGCTTGGAGTCATACTGGTTCTTGCTGCGATCGTAGCATGGTGCTACTACTCCGCTTCTCTCCACAAGGCCAACCTTCTGACAACTGAACGACTGGATCTTAACAAAGATGGTTTTGTTATCCGAAACCAAGCTGGGGTTGTCATTTTCAAAATGGCATTCAGGTATTTTGTTTAAATATCCTATTTACACTTGTAATTACATAATTATGATTAGAAGTCATATTGTTTTTAATTGTGCATTTTAGGTCTGGAACCCTTGATCTGGACTCATGTTCAAAAGAGGGACAGATTCTCAGATGTGACAAATCCATAGCTGGAAATATACATTTCTTCATAGAAACGGTAAAGCCTAAAGACACAGTTGAGTGCTATCGTGTGCGCTGGGACGAGCTGGAGGAACATCGGTTGGTGGAGCATGTCATGTCCTGCAGTGGATCACACTGGTACGGTGGTGCGGAGACTTGGTTGCAGCATTGGCCAATAGTATTAAAAGGACAGCAAGAACCCAAACCTTTCATTACAGGCGATATCCATTCGAATTATCAGGCATTTGGTGGCATCTTAGAGCGCTACTGGCTTTCTTCCAATGCTATGGCCATAAAAATTAATGATTCTGTTCCTTTTCACCTTGGCTGGGATGAAACGAACAGAACTCTGTGGTTCCAAGCTCGATACGATGACAGCCCTTATAGGCCAGACCCCGGTAATCCCCATCATGTGACACTTAGCTATCGTGTATGTGTCGGGCATGACGTCACCTCTATACACAAGTACATGGTACGTCGATATTTCAACAAGCCCAATAAGGTTCCCTCAGAAGCTGTTTTCAGACAACCAATGTGGTCTACAAAAGCTCTAGAAGAAGTCAACGAAGAAAGAATTTTGAAATATGCATCTGATATTCAAAAAAATGGCTTCAACTGCAGTCACCTGGAGCTGTACGACAGATATACTAGTGGCTATGGGGAGTTTGAGTTAGATCCCATCAAGTTTCCCAACGCCTCAGCCATGTTTCAAAAACTTAGGGATGATGGATTCCAGGTAACCTTGTGGACTCATCCATTTGTCAACTATAATTCTGTCAATTTTGGTGTTGGAGTAGAACAAGGACTGTTTGTACGAGTGCCCGGTAGCCAGCTTCCTGCACTGGTGCGTTGGTGGAACGGTATCGCTGGCATTTTGGATTTCACAAATCCAGAAGCTCGGGACTGGTATGCCTTGAATCTCCACACCCTCAAGAAGAAGTATGGAGTAATATCTTTTAAGTTTGATGCAGGAGAAACAAGCTACTTACCCCAGGAGTTCAGTACCTTTGTTCCTCTGCAGGATCCCAGTACTTTTACTCGCCGCTACACTGAGATGGCACTACCGTTCAATGACCGTGCAGAACTGCGGTCCGGCTATCAGTCTCAAAACATCTCCTGCTTCTTCAGAATTATAGACCGTGACTCACTATGGGGATACACCCTAGGCCTCAAATCTATAATCCCAACTGTACTTACTATAAGTATTCTTGGCTACCAGTTTATTCTGCCAGACATAATAGGCGGAAGTACAACCTCTAACCTCACTGGCCTTCCAGATCGTGAGCTGTACATCCGTTGGCTAGAGCTCTCAGCTTTCATGCCAGCCATGCAGTTCTCACTTCCACCATGGCACTATGATGATGAGGTAGTGAATATCGCCAAGAAGTTCACTGCTCTCCATGAGTCTCTTGTAGCCCCTCGGGTTCTGGAGCTTGCTGGGGAAGTGCTGTACACTGGGGATCCCATCATTCGCCCTCTTTGGTGGATTGCAACAGATGATGAGGCAGCTTACAAAATTGACTCTCAGTTCCTGATAGGAGATGACCTTCTGGTGGCACCTGTACTTGAACCAGGCAAGCAAGAAAGAGATATATACCTTCCTGCGGGCAGGTGGAGAAGTTACAAGGGAGAGTATTACAAGGGAGACAAAGGACCCATATACCTTACTGATTATCCAGTGGACTTGGATGAAGTTGCTTACTTTGTGTGGTCAGGATAGTTGTAAGTAGGTACGGGATGAGCCCAAACAAAACCCCAAGTCTTCTAAATACTGATCTGGCCATACCATAACTTATTTGTACAATCATGTGACTTTTAAACAAAATGAATAGTTTGTATACTAATAGCACCAGCAAGATTTATGTTGTAGTTTGTCCATATGTTGATAATGCATACGTCTCAAGAAATAGACTTCTCAGAAAATAGGCCACCCATCTGTCGCAAAGTTTTAATAAAGACCTCTTGAATTGTGAAAAAGGGGCCAAATGTTGGAATGTGCAAAGCAAATCACGTCTTTACTGGAATAAAGTTATAGGAGTGGTTTTGTTTTCTGTAAGGTGGGGATTCGTCATTATTATGGTTTCTGATCATTGTGAGTAAAATATCAGCACATTTTCAGTTTAAAGCAAAATCCAGTGAAATCCACATGATGAACTTATTTTTTACATTATTTATGACATGTTTTTGTGAAATTTGTACATGTAGTTTACTTGTCTTTTCGTTTGTTTCCCATTGTGTCAAAATCTATTTAGAAATAAGCAACAACCTTACTTGAATTTTCTGATGTGAAAAATCCATGGCTGGAAATATACATTTCTTCATAGAAATCTATCGTGTGCGCTGGGACGAGCTGGAGGAGCATCGGTTGGTGGAGCATGCCATGTCCTGCAGTGGATCACACTGGTACGGTGGTGCGGAGACTTGGTTGCAGCATTGGCCAATAGTATTAAAAGGACAGCAAGAACCCAAACCTTTCATTACAGGCGATATCCATTCGAATTATCAGGCATTTGGTGGCATCTTGGAGCGCTACTGGCTTTCTTCCAATGCTACGGCCATAAAAATGAATGATTCTGTTCCTTTTCACCTCGGCTGGGATGAAACAAACAGAACTCTGTGGTTCCAAGCTCGATACGATGACAGCCCTTATAGGCCAGACCCCGGTAATCCCCATCATGTGACACTTAGCTATCGTGTATGTGTCGGGCATGACGTCACCTCTATACACAAGTACATGGTACGTCGATATTTCAACAAGCCCAATAAGGTTCCTTCAGAAGCTGTTTTCAGATAACCAGTCTGGTCTACAAGAGCTCTAGAAGAAGTGAACCAAGAACGAACATTGAAATATGCATCTGATATCCAAAAAATGGCTTCAACTGCAGCCACCTGGAGCTGTACGACAGATATACTAGTGGCTATGGGGAGTTTGAGTTAGATCCCATCAAGTTTCCCAACGCCTCAGCCATGTTTCAAAAACTTAGGGATGATGGATTCCAGGTAACCTTGT